TATCTCGCTACCAAGTATCAAATTTGGTAGGTGGGTGTGTGTGTATTGTAATGATATTGTAGGATGGTCAGCTCAAATCATATCATGAGTTAGACTAATCGGCTCATCAAATTCACTATCGGCACTGTACATCTTGTTCAGTACGTCATCAAATGCATATGGTAAAATTTTCACATAATTTGGATTCTTCTAAAATATGAATCAAACTACTTTGATATGTTGATTTTTTAGGCAGCTTAACAACTGTTCCGTCTACACATAGCTATAACAATGAGTATAACTTTCAAAACAATATAAATTTTTCTTACAAATAGATCATGATGAGTGCAAATCACGATGAGCGGTCGATCATCATTTCAAGTAGCTTATTGGAGTAGCTCATGATAAAAATCTGATCTCACTATCTCATTTTATTTTAATATAATATATATATAGTAATAAGAAAGTAGATGGATAAGAATTCACTTAAGTTTATAGGAGCTTTACTAGACACATTCTCTCTCTCTCTCTCTCAAATTTGGAAAACAAGAACAACTAAATCATTCTAAAACCTTCTTTTACGCTTGCAGCTATTCAGACATTAAATCTTTGTGAAATATTAGACATTAAATCTCTATAGAATAATATAGTTGTTTGTTCTTAGATTTATGGTCTCACTTATGTATAACTTTTACCTAAAAGAACCAATAAAGAGAGGAATGTGTGAGAACCAAATGGTGTTTCTATGATGTAGCAAACTATAAGAATGGTTTATAGGAATGCTTTTTTAAGTTTTGCACTGAGTTTTTCATGATAATATTCATGATCTTTATTTGGAAAACAGCAAATTGCTAGTTCTTGGTTCCTTTAGTATAGTAATCACTTGTACAATATAAAAGTGTAACCCTGAACCATTGCTATAACTTTGCAGTTTTGGTATAGTGATAGAAAATGTGATTGGGGATCCTTTTCGCTCTCATTCGTTATGACAAATCTTGAGAATTAAAGAGAGTATCAATGCGATTTCTTGCTTTTCTTTACTTTAGGATAAAAATATATGGTATCAGGGCAACGTAGGTTTGAACCTTATTAGTCAAAATTTTCTAAATAGTTTTTTGTAAATGATCATTATATGAGTTTACATTAGGGTCCATGAAATGGCTCTTAACCTAGAGGCTAGGTTTTAAATATCGAATATCGAGGAAGTATCAGACAACCAAAATCCATATTTGTTGCGGATATCAGGGTAATATTGGAATGTGTAGTAAATATCATAGTTTCATATTAAATGATTTGCATAATATAATGTCCTAAAATGCAATCTAAACATACTAAACAAGAGGTCATGTTTAAAATATTGAATATCGAGGGAATATCAGACAAGTAAAATCCATACTAATTTCGGATATCAGGGTAATTCAAAATGTATAGTAAATATCAAAGTTTAGATCGAATGATTTGCATAAGATAATGTCCTAAAATGTAATCTAAACATATTAAACTATAACTAATATATGTTAATGATCACCAACCAACTGTGAAAATTTATTTAGGAAAAGGAGCCTACTATTTTGTTAAAATTTTCTAAATTTTATTTAGGAAACTTCATATGATTGGAATTTTTGCTAAAATACATCAAAAAAAAGAAGCCTACTAGAATTTTGCTAAAAGACTTCATTGGAATGGATTTTTTGCTAAAAAGACATTAAAAACTTTACAGAACTATACTTGTTTTGTGACAAACAGTTTTGTGACAAACAATACAAAGGACATATCAATCGATATATCGAGTATGTTGGGGATACATTGCTCAAAAATTGCTAAAAATTAATAAAGGATATTGACACTATTGTTTCGTAACAAACATTATAAAAGGATACATCGGTCATATTATCTATATTTGGGTATTTAAAACAATTCCTGGAGGCAGGTTAGCTTATAAAATTTTAATCCTGGCAGTAACTTCAAAATTATAATGTAGTGGTAGGGATTTTCAGTTAAGGTATCTTGTAGTACATCAACTTTAGAAGGTTGTTTGTGTTCTATAGTAAACCCATATTTTGGATTTGATGTGGTTAGATTTTACTAGGGCTTTGCATGGTTTAGTCCAGACCAAAAAAAAAATTTCGAACCGATCGAAAATTAACAGTTTGGGTCGGTTTTCTTTATAGATCGGTTCAGATCGGGTTGAAAAATTTTAAACCCGAACCGTCCGAACTGATCACTTCAACAAAAAGCCCATATTTTTTTAACCCGTATCCATTAGCCCATAATCGTATTTGATTAATTGATTCCTGAATCCCTAAAGCAAAGACCGTAGGTTCTTCTCTCAAGTCCCAACTCGCCTCTCCCTCTTCTCCACTCTTCGATCATCCTCAATCACTTCCAACTCGCAAACCGCCTCCAACTTGCTGACGTCACCTTTGAGTTCACCTCGCCCCCAAATCGGATTTTCTTCATCGTTGTCACTGATTATTTGATCTTCTGTACCTCCTAAGCATCCACTCATCTTCGTCGTCATCTGTACCTTCCAAGCAACCACTCTTCATGGCCGAACCATCTCCTCAAGATTCATCTTCTGCTTTGGAGACACCCGCACTGATAGTGGAGGTATAAATTGAAAACCCTAATTTGATTCTATGCTTTTAGGGAGAAAAGATCCAAACTTTTTAGTTCTTGATACGTGTTAATAAATTGTAGACAAGCTTTCAATTGAACCAACAATCACATATTTGTAAGAGCTTAATCCTGAAAGAGTATTGCAAATGTAACAATTTTTTCCTGTTTTACGTCGCACAAAAATAAGATGGTTGTGATCAAATTTTGTTATTGCAGATTGAACAAGCTAAAGAGGGAGAGTTACCGTCAGATATTGCTGATGGTGCTATTTGGTTTTCTGTAGCTTGAAGGATGATTTTAAACTTGTTTTTGTTTAGATATTCTCAATTAGATTTTGGACATTATCTGATAGATTATTATAATATGACTTCCTGACTTTTGGCCTTTTCTAATCTTTTTAAAATGGTTTTCTAATTTATCTAATGTATATGATTACTTGCAAGCCACATGTATATTTGATTTCACAAGCTTTTGTGAAGTTCATTTGATTTACAGTGCTTGGGGAAAATCTGTTGCTGAAGTTATATTATCAGGTCTACTGGTCTAGTAGTACTTTGTGTCCATTTTCATTCGGTATATGCTAAGTATGCTAAGTATAGCCGACATAATTCTGTCTAAAAATGTATGGTCACATGCATGAAATTGACCCTGAGAGATCATATATGTAACAACAGTGAGTAGCAACTGTTCCTAATTTCTACCTTAAGTCAGAAATTATGGCGGCCTACAAAAGTAACATACTATTTGTTTCCTGCCTTTACATGTAAATAACAATTGTGGTGGTCTACAAAAGTTTGTTTCAACTGTACAGGCAGTTAAGCACTTGTCCTCATGATGTTTATATAATTTATACAAAGTGAACTGTCATGCCTAGTGTTGTCCGGGTCAAGTTAATCTTCTTCCCATAAATTGGTGCTATGGTTTTTTTTATGTTCTACATCTTTAACAGATGGATTCAATGTTTTGTTACATAATGATAATAACTCAAGTTTATTCAAAGCTTTATACATATGACGATTTGTTCTCTATTTGTTTGTTGCTTGTGATTTCGACTCTATTCTTTGCGATTGGGAGTTTAGTTTGCTTTGTGTTCTTCAGTATATATTTACTTTCGCATTTCATGACATTTTTTTTCCTGTATCTTAATTTCAGTGGATTAAAACCATGAAAATATCCTACTTTTGCTTTTGAATGATCAAAAGATTTACGTGTGTTGTGTTGTCTAGCAGTTTGTCCTACATATATCAGTCAAGACTGTGTTAATTTCTCAGGTAAGTATTTGATCTTATTTTGAAAATTTTGTATTTACGTAACTATCTCCAAGTCTTATATATTTCTCAGGTGAAAAATTGCTTTCTTTGTGCACTATTTCAGGCTATTCAGAGAAGGTTCAATTCAAAGATTCATTGCAAAAAAAAAGCACATGCTCGTGATATTACAAAGCTTAATCAAAAACAACATTAAAAAGAACTACTACTACATATGTTACAGTTATAACTGGTAATTGACATTATACATTTATTTGTTTATTACAATTCAAAAAGAGTTTCAAAATAGTTTCAGTTTTGTGCTCAATACTTTCAGTATTCTACTTTCAGATACTAAAATACTGCTTGGGACTCATTCTTTGTTATAAGTTGGAAAGCTCGGCAATTGAATCATTATCGTTGATGCTCTGGATCTGAATTGTCAAGTATCTTAACAATGTCAAGTTTTCTGTCAAGTTTTCTCAGCAGGTTCTACTTCTGATACTCTTTCTTTGTTTTTTTTCATCTTGATTAGTCGGGTTTTTTTATTTGCGAAATCCTTGCATGTTAGTACCTACTAAATAAGTGCAAAAGAAAAAGTTATGCTTTGGGTCTGAATTGTCAAGTATCTCAACACTGTTAAGTTTTCTCAGCGGGTTCATTGTTTTTTCATCTTGATTAGTGGTTTCTTTTTTTTTTTGAAATCCTTGCATGTTAGTACCTACTAAATAAGTCATGAAGAGAGCAAAAGAAAAAGTTGTGCTCTGGATCTGAATTGTCAAGTATCTCAACATTGTCAAGTTTTCTCAGCAGGTTCTACTTCTGATACTCTTTCTTTGTTTTTTCATTTTGATTAGTGGTTTTTTTTTTTGCAAAATCCTTGCATGTTAGTAACTACTAAATAAGTCATGAACAGAGCAAAAGAAAAGTTGCGCCCTGGATCTGAGTTGAGTATCTCAACATTGTCAAGTTTTCTCAGCAGGTTCTATTTCTGATACTCTTTTCTTTGTTTTTTCATCTTGATTAGTGGTTTTTTTTTTGCGATAGTACCTAGTAAATAAGTCATGAACAGAGCAAAAGAAAAAGTTGTGCTCTGGATCTGAATTGTCACGTATCTCAACATTGTCAAGTTTTCTCAGCAGGTTCTACTTCTGATACTCTTTCTTTGTTTTTTCATCTTGATTAGTGGTTTTTTTTTTTTTGCGAAATCCTTGCATGTTAGTAACTACTAAATAAGTCATGAACAGAGCAAAAGAAAAGTTGCGCCCTGGATCTGAGTTGTTAAGTATCTCAACATTGTCAAGTTTTCTCAGCAGGTTCTATTTCTGATACTCTTTTCTTTGTTTTTTCATCTTGATTAGTGGTTTTTTTTTCAGAGCAAAAGAAAAAGTTGTGCTCTGGATCTGAATTGTCACGTATCTCAACATTGTCAAGTTTTCTCAGCAGGTTCTACTTCTGATACTCTTTCTTTGTTTTTTCATCTTGATTAGTGGTTTTTTTTGCGATATCCTTGCATGTTAGTACCTAAATAAGTCATGAACAGAGCAAAAGAAAAAATTGTACAATGTGTTTAAGTTTTTATAACATTTGAATGTGTCATACCCAAGTAAGCAGTAAACCGACATGGAACAGTTCGGTTCGGTTCTAAATAATAGGCGGTTCGGTTCGGTTGGTCAAATTTTGACCAAAAACCAAACCGACTGACCGTTTGCTCACCCCTAGATTTTGCACCCACATGCTTGGACACAGTATGCTTTTTACAAGCTTTGAATCAATAGAGCAGCAATTATAGTGGATGTTACAAGCATTAACATACTGATACTAGTGATTGTTGTTGGAGGCATCATGATTGTTATTTGAAGGCTATTATTCCAGATAAAAATGATGAAATATTTTTGTTTTCTTATTCCTTTGAATAAATGAACTGTGTGCAATCTTATTCTATAAACTAGGTTGGTCACGTTACTAATAATCGTAAAACTACTGATGAGTCGGCAATGTCAAATTAATAGTGAATCGGGTTTATTGTCGAAAGCGATGAATCCTCAACATCAAACTATAGTGCATGGGTCCATTTTTGAGAAGTAGCCCCGCTTATCAAGAAACCATTAAAAAGTGACTGAAACACCAAAAATGGGACTCCCTAAGCTACTAATGATAGAGGCAAGTACACTTTACGGCCAAGTTTCATTAATGGATCAAAACGGTAAAACTCACCTTAATATTGAACCAAATCAGAGCCCATGATCTTTTTGGAAACAGGAGGATCCAGGAGAGATGGCCAACCTCTATCCTCATGGATAGAGCAATGTGCATATTAAATTAATTCTACAATTTAGTCAACTTGTATAGTCAAAACATTCATTCGTAATGTAGCCATACGACGAATCTAGACTCGTAGGAATACCCTACAATCAATCATACCATCTAACTTATGGTTAAGAATTCCTAATCTGGTGATATAATGAGTCTAAACTATTAATTGCTTATTATTCCTCATACAAGGTCGGGCATAGATGTAGACTACTATTTTGTCTGGATGGGGGTTAATGAGTAGGGGAAGGAATGTAAATAGATTC